GGGTGTCATCTGAAGATAACCCAGCAGATCCCCTCACAAAGGGTCTGAGTAGGGCTAAGCATATTCAGCATGCTCGGAGCATAGGACTGAAAGATGATATTAGTTTAGTAGTTAGATTAGTTTTTGAAACTTGTAACAAAGTAAATGTAATTGACTTTTGGTGATTAAATAATAAAGTATTATTTATAAGTTTGGCTACTACCTTTTGTCAATTGTTTATTACTGTGTTTCATATTTTGCATGTTTTACTTCCTGAATAATGAGATTATTCAAACTCCACAGTCGCTCGTACTCTTGGAAGTAAGTAGTGAATTAAGACTGTCATGAATTGGATTGCAGATTGTCTAAGGATAGACATGGCAATAGAATTGCTGCAATGTTCATGAGTACTCAGAAATTGAGATTTGAGTATTGGATAAACCCTCGCTCAGAGTATTACTTCATGGAATTCATCACGAGTAATACTGAGACGATAATATCTTATAATCTTGAAACGAAGATATATGAGTTGTAATTTACAAGTCGGTTGTGCATTGGTGATACGAAAACGCATCAGTAACTTGGTGTTATAAAACGTATTGTCATGCATAATTTGATGAGTAAAAGATACAAGCATATGAGTCAACGTTTATTCGTTCCTTTTGCCCTAACAGGAAAAGCGATATCTGTGGCCCCTCGATGATTTGGTGTTGACTTATGTGCTGGGCCCAGCCAGGACTAAATTGATGTGTTCAATTAGAAGTCCTACATCATCACAAATCAAGAATCGGGAAACATAGATTCTGGACAAAACAGATTGATACATTCCATGTCTTTTGTCTGGGGATATCAAGCAGAACGAAGGGTTATATGATCACTTATCTTAGGACACGTAACTGACTGGGTCAGAGTTCGGCAGCAGCAGCTTTGGAAGCTACAATTTGCTGGTCAAATTTAGAAGGCATACTGGCAATTATAGTTACAGACTTATCCAAGTGGGAGACTGTTGGATTAGGTGTCTAAGCCCATAACTATAATTGGTATGTACTTGAATTGATAGCAGCACAGTCCTTTTGGGTTGCCCTCAACCTAGCAACTGGACAAGGAAATTATGAAAGGAGAGATATTAATTTATAAGATTAATAAAATTAATATATATATAAATGATTTATTAATATGTTAATGGATTAATATATTAATTAGAAATCATTATGTTTAATTAATTGTTAGCCAGAAATTAATCAGAATTGATTTTGGGTTAAAAGAATTAATTATAAGGTGCAGGGACTAGTTTGCAATTATCTAATAATAGTTGAGTGGAAGGCTCTAGAACCCCCTTGGAAGAGGGTGGACGAAATCTTTAGGGGAAACCCTAATAATTTCGTCCATAGGGGCTTGGATAAGGCCTTGGGTTTGCTTAGGCCCTAAGCAAAGGATAACTAGGGTTTCCCTTAAACCCTAGATCCCTCAGCTATATAAGGAGCCTCCTGGTTCATGTTTTGGTCACTCTTTCTTTTGAAGAAAACCCTAAGGCCGAGATTTTGCATACTCCCTCTCCTCTCTCTTCCTCTACTTTTTCCTTCTTGCTAGTTGGGTGTGACTCCATTAGAGGCATTACACTTGTGGTGCTAAAGCTTCCAAGAAGATCAAGATCAAGATCAAGGGAATATCAATTGTTTGCTATAACAATTGAAAGGTATGTAAACCCTAAACCCTAGTTTACTATTTTCGATAATAGCCTCTCTCCTCTAGGGTTCTTGTATTGCAATTCAAAGTTGTATGTTCAATAGTTAAAACATAGATCCAAAGTAGGTTGCATGTGAACTTAGGAATTGTTTTTCTAGTTTATTTGTTTTACCTAAAACCCTTCAATTACATGTTGTTTAATCTCAACATGGTTGTAAATACTTCTAATTTGAAACATTCAAGTTCCTTTCAAGTTGGACTTCATTAACTAAATTTCTCTGCAATAAAAATGAATGAATTTTTAGAATCGATGTGGATTAAAATAAATGTTATGTTTTTACAAGTGATTCAAACTTCACATGGATTAGGATTTACAAAATTATATTCATACATTTCAATGATAGAATTAAATTAGTCTAATCAGAATAATATAGACTATTAGATAATCACATCATGTAATACATATCATTGATGGTATCCAATAGATCTAATCAGGACAATATACATTCTTATGAGTATCTAATATTTTCTTTAGTACATTCCCTTTCCTACAGATTAACAAGAGCATATTCAAACAAAAGTGTGCTAAAATACATCTCCAACAATCTGTATTTAAAGAAAATGGCATATTTTAACAAAACTAAGGTAAATTTAATAAGATTAGTCAATACTGAATTATTTTACTCCAATTCTAACTCATATTTTGGAAGTATATTCATTCTTAAAAAGGACTTTATTGGTGGAAAAGAGGGGGTGATACATCAGAATCTTTATTCATTCAGGACTTTCATCAAATAGGTAGAATGCATGTATAGTTTAAAAGAATTTGATTAGGAAAAATAATTGATTTCAATCAATCAATATGATGTTTAATTGCTGAAATCACGAATCATACATATATGAATTGGAGAAATCACTAGTAGCTTGATGATTTAATCACTTCATGTTACCAGGTTAACAATTGAACATGTTATATGCAAGTAACAATGAAAGTGATGAAAACTCAAACCTTGATCAATTGATGAAATCATGATGTAGAGTAAAAATCACAGTTTGAAATATCGATAGCAATTGTTGAAAATGAAGATTAGTAGAAATTATCTGAACACTTGAACCTCTACCTTGGATGAAATCGATGATCACAGAGCTAAAATCGATAACAATCTTGTAATGAGTTGTTGGTGTCGATAGATGAACATAAACCTCAATCGCTCAGATTATCAATTGGAGATGTAGAAGAATGAAGAATGAAGAATGGAAGAATTAAGGAGATAGAGGATCGATCAGAGTGAACTGGATAACAAGGAATATTGATCTAGCAAATATATTGGTAGAAGAATCAAAGCATATGATTTCTTGATGAAGTGAAGATGACGCTAGCATTATCTCTGATCATCTTAAATTTAATCTAGAGACTAATCTACCCCTAATTAACTAGTAAATTATATTAATTAGTGTTAATCATGTTTTTTTTATGAGCCACAAGATTAGTTTTGATCAAAGGCTAAGATTTGGTCCCCATGTCTCACAAAATATAGGTGGTCTCAAATGAACCTCTATATATATATATATATATATATATATATATATATATATATATATATATATATATATAGAGAGAGAGATAGAGAGGAGAGAGAGAGAGAGGAGATAGAGAGAGAGAGAGAGAGTTCAATTGAAAAATAAAAAAGGGAAGAATGGGGAATTGAGAATGGGGTCATTCAGCCTCATTTAATCTAAGCATAAAAAGACACGGTGGCAAACTTGTAAATATGATAATAACCTTCAATCTCAAATACGTAACATCGATTTCTTTGTTGAATACTCCGAATTTGAATTTTCCAGATTCGCAAACGAACTCAGTTGGAATCGGAATTTCTTTGTTGTTCATGAAATTGGAATTGGAGTTATGGACTCGCAGTCACAGTCGACATTGAAGGACTCGGAATCGGTACTCACAGGTTCCTAATCGGATTTTCGGAAATCAAAATCAAAATGTGAAATCGATCAGACATAGGATGTCACATCTGAAGTCGGAAGCTTTTGAAATTGGAACATATATTCTAATCCGAACAGTTCGCGTCTTGATTATCAAATATTACAAAGAAATCTGGAATCGGGATTCCAAGGTTTCAAAATTGAAATCGGAATTTTTTTTGGAATGAAATGAAAATCGGAATTGCACGCTTCAAAGTCGAAATCGGAAGTATATGATGATTTGGAATTGATAACTTGAATTGGAAGTATCATGTTTTTAACATTTTTAAAAAAGTTAACTTGTATGCACTCCAACTGTTTGATGAAATGCATAAACTAAATTACCACATTATATTCACATATGAATATGTTTTCTGACCTGAATCAATATATGATTATTAAAACAAAAAACAAATATGCAAGTCTGTATGTTATTCGTATGTGAATAACGTATAAAAATTATATATATTTATGAAAACACCTTGTAATATTCATATGTGAATATATTGTGTAATATTCATAAGTGAATATATCATCCTATATTCACAAGTGAATATACTATGTAAAATTCACATGTGATATACCATGTAATACTATGTAATATTCACATACGAAAATATCATATCATATTCATAAGTAAATATACCATCTAATATTCACAAGTGAATATACTATGTAATATTCACAAGTGAATGCTTCGTCTAATATTTAAATATGAATATACTATGTTTATTATATGTTATATTCATATATGAATGATACTTAAATTATAAAAAAATTAATCATATTTTTTATTCATAAGTGAATAACGAATGTACTGTAGTAAAATTTGATACATTTTTATTCACTTATGAATAACGATAGCTGAAAATATAAAAAAAAATTATTTTATCTTAAAACTATATCAATATGGATGTCTATTTGTAGAGAATAAAAAATCATGAATTTTGGTATATTTAAAATCATTTTTCGATAAAAATAGCTTCTTAAAAATTAAAAAAATGAAAAAAAAAACTATGTTTTTGTATATATTAAAGTAATGATTAGCATAGTTTAAGGAAACATGTTTTGTTGGAAAACACATGTCTAATCCTTTCCCATTTCGCTGGCACGACGGAGGCTTTTGCCACAAAAATAAATAAGGGACCGAGAATGATTCCCCCATTATCAACCTTTTTTTTCTCAATTGAACCCTCTCTCTCTCTCTCTCTATATATATATATATATATATATATATATATATATATATATATATATATATATATATATTATATATATATATATATATATATATTTTATTTTTGTGCACATAACTTTCAAAAGAAAAAAAAAAAAAAAAAAAAAAAAAACATCCTAAAAGAAAACAGAATCTTCTTCCATCACTGCAACAATCCAACTCCTTGCTCAGCCTCCAATGGCGACGACTTCGGAGAATCCAAAAGCGACGATCCCGGAGATTCCAAAGGCGAAATCGGGATCTTTGCCGTCGATTGTTAAGGCGTATTGGCTACCGGCGATCCTGTTCTCCGCCTCCATGTTCTTCCAGCTTGTAGCTCTCCCTCGTTCTTTCCCGCCTTCTCATTACGACGGTTTGGGGCTCCTTACTTTCCAAACAATGTTAACCTACTTAGCTTCTACTCATTGCAAATTCACAGCTTAATTATTCGTTTTCTATTTGATTTTACAGTTCTTGGGATCAAAACTTACAGTTCAATTGAACAAGTGAATGAAGCCTACGAACACCTCTCTTCTAATTGGTAATTTCTAAATTATCCTTGCGTTAATCCTAACACCTGCTTAGTTTCTTGTAGTTGTATAGTTTCACTTCCCCAGTTATTTACTATGGCAAAGAAAGACGTCGAGTTCTATTTGTCTAAACCCTAATAATGATGAATAACTTACAAAGCATTACTAATTGAAAATTTCGACATTCCAGGAAAACCGATAGTGAACCTTCTTCAACTCTTGATATGATTAAGGTTGGTGTGATTCTTTACTGTACTCTTCGTTTTCTTGTTCTTAATGTTTAATACTTGAACAATTGATGGTGACATTGTTGCATTGCAGATTCAGTATGCTTTTGAACTTCTGAGCAATCCCATATGGAAAAGAGATTATGACATATTTAGCATTGATGAATATCTTGTGAGTAGCTTCTGACATGGTCGCAATATCCAATTTTCATTTTCAGTTTTGTATATAATTATGCAATATTAAAAATGCTTGCTTTGTTGACTGCAGCATGTAATGGAAAAGGTCAAGGAGAAATATTCCAGTGCATCATTTTCTGATATTAATCTTCCATTATTGAAGCCCACTTCATTTGGTTCGTTAAATTATCTGCTTCTTTAAATTTACCTTTGTAAAACTATAATCTTTATTTATGCAGTTTATTCATTTTATTTTGTAACAGAATCAGATCATGTTTTTGATGCCATTTCATCGGATAATTTTATTTCTAAGCTACAAAACAGCAGTGCATTGCTTGTTCAAGTTTATTCAGTTGGTAGCAGCCGATGTGCCCAATTTTCTAGTCTTTGGAAAAGAATTGGTATATATATTTTATTATTATTTTTATTTGTGTTTTTCTAAGATGTTTAATTTTTAACTTTTTTAGCATTTGGTTTCTTGTATATATTTCAGCTAGTTTATTGGATGGTATAGCAAATACCGGGATGATTGATATTAGGGATCTTAAGCTTGCAACATATTTATCTGAGAAGAAATATACAGGAGCTCCTTTCTATCGAAATGGTTGGTAATAATTAAATAATAATAATTAACCATATTATTTTTTTTATTAAAATATTGGATAATTTAATAATTCTCCAAGTTATTGATATGATACAGGTGTTCCTTCACTTTTGGCTTTTCCCCCTGGCTGTAAAACCTCAGATTGCATTGTGAGGTGAGTTTATGCGGATAATAATAAGTTAATAACCATATTATTGTTATTAAAACATAAAAAAATAAATAATTAATCTTCCAAATAATTTTTTATAAATTATACTTTTACAATTTGTTAGGTACACCGGTGAGTTGTCTGTTGATGCTGTTACTGATTGGTTTGCTACAACCATACTAAGCTTACCTCGTATTTCATACTACTCCAGGGACACTTTGGTAATTTCCATAATCTCTCTCCTCAAGTAGACATACATAATTTTTTTATTACATTGTTATAAAATGTAACATCTGTTTAATTACAGGCACAAAGTTTTTTAGGAAAAGGGAGTCGGCATAAGGTACATATACATTTTAACTTTCAACACTTTCTTTCACATTCAAATGTTCAATATTTTCTTAACTTTTTTTTTATTTTAATATTTTTTTTACTAGGTCAAAGTCATTTATGCTTCAAAAACAGGACAACGTGCCACACCATTCGTGCGCCAAGTGGCGAAAGATTATTGGTCGTATGCCTCATTCGCATTCACGGTTTACAATGAAGAAGAATCTATCTTTTGGTCAAACACGTAATTTTCCACTTTGACTTTTCTTATAACCGACTGTTTAAATTAATGATTAATTTTATTATATATAATAATAATTCCAGATTTGGTGTGGAAGAAGCTCCTGCAATTGTTATTTTAAGAGACCCTGGTGTCAAACCTCTAGTCTACCATGGCTCAATTAACAATTCAAGACTTATTGATATCATGGAACAAAATAAACATCAAGGTGCATAAATCATTTTTGTGACAATCTTTTTTAATAATATTATATTTAATTATTTATTTTTTTCAGTGCTTCCCCAATTAAGAAGTGTTACATCCATGGAGCTTGGTTGTGATCCAAAAGGCTACTCACGTGCTGGAAATGACACCACAGTTTGGTATTGTGCTGTTCTTATTGGAAGACAAAGCACAGAACTCCATAAAATGCGTGAAGTAAGATTCATATCTTAATTCATAAAACAATAGTCTTTTTTTTATTTTCTTGAAAGAATAATATTATATATTATATTGTTAAAGACCATGCGTAGGGTCCAAGAGATGCTATCAGATGGTGAAAATGTAAATCAGGTTGACCAATACCAATCCGCCATGTCAGCATTGAAGGAAAAAAGACTCACATTTGCTTGGGTGGATGGTGAAGCACAAAAGGTATACATAATTACATACACTAATCTTTTATTTTGGGATAATATTTGAATTAATTTTTTTTTTGTTTACAGAGGTTTTGTTTGTTTTATGTAAATGTGGAGGAGAGTTTTGATACATGTGGACCAAGGAGGGACATAACAGATGTCCCAAGGTTATTTCTTGTACGTTACAAAAGAAATGATACAGAAGCTAACAAAATCAATGAAAAAAACTCAATGAACATGTTTGCTACAATTGCTTCAAAGGATGTGGACCCCACATCCCAACTAGTGGCACTTTACAAAGGTTTAGATGAAGCCCCACAGGTTTGAATTTGAACATCTCTCCATGAAAAATATTTTTTAGATAAGTTTTTCTTCAAGTCTTGATATTTTTATATGTATGAATTTGTGGCAGATAATACAATGGATCTCTGAAACAGTCAAAGATGGTGATTCTAGAGATCTTCCCTTTCATGTGAGTTTTTTAATTTTATAAACAAAACTTATATACTTATATTGTGAAATGTGTGTTTATATAAAATTTGATTAAATGCAGAGAACATCAACTCCTGAGCTAGTGGCTGAGGATGTGGATCCTATTTGGTCAAAGGGTAGAGAACAAATTATTTCTTCAAGCAGGGGAATGAAACAGAGGCTTGAAAACATCCCTGAAAGAATTCATGATGTTATGGAAGATCCAAGGTTTGGTCCAATGTTGCTTTTGGGGGCATTGATGTCATTTGGTTTCATTTATTTGAGGAGAAATCAGTCCATTAAGTCAAGTCAAACAAATACCGAGGTAAACATTGGCTAACCTCTCTTTCTTCTTGTATTAATTCCAATGTTTTTTTTTTCGAAAAGAAATTGGAAGTGGAATGTTGCTATTTCTTGCATTTGTATCTGACGATTGTAGTATTTGACAGGGTGATGAGCGACCAAAAATGAGAAGGAGAAGGCCAAATAGCCATAAAAAGCAGGATGCAGCGCCTTCTATTACTGACATGCAACCACCTAATGCTTTCCAGATGCCATTTACAGATTCTGATTCTGATTAAAGAAACTATGCATAAAAAAATTGAAAGCTGCTTACATAAACTACATGAAACAAGAGGTCTTAAATTAATATATGGTAGGTACTTCAGATGTGACTTCATAGTTATATGTTCATAATGTATGATCATCCAAATCTTGAATTATTTTTACTTAATTTCTAATTTAGTCCCGGTTTTCATAACTTTGTTAACTACTTAATCAATCAATGTAATGATGATCAAGAATTGTTTTTGTTTTGTTGGGGTAATGGTGTTTAACCACTAAAGAAGTTTTCGTAAATTTTGGTTTAAATCAATTTATCTTTTAAGACTTCTAATTTTAATTCATGCTTTTTTTTTTCAGGATGTATGATCATCCAAATCTTGAATTATTTTTACTTAATTTCTAATTCATGTTTTTTTTTTCTAAGTTTTCCTTTATATCAAGAAAAGGTTTTCTCCAAGTCTTCTTGTATGAATCTGGAACTTTAAATTTAAATTAATTTTAATTAAGTTTTTAAAGCTTATAAATACCTTTGAATATTATATTACTTGCCATTTATGAATTTTAAAAAATTTAAAAATAAATCAAAAGATGTCTGTTTTTAGTTGTTTTTTTTTTCAATGATTTCTTGACCGGGTTGACATACATGAACCGCTTTTAAAAACCGGTGACAATCTTTGATATTTATATAATTGAGTTGTTTGTTTGAAAGCTTTCACAAACTTTGATAACCCTCTTTTATATAATACATGAATAAATTCAACATGACTAGAGATGTCGAGGACCAAAATGAACACAATAAATAGAATTTACAGTTTTGGCCATTGTAAAATATACATAATAATAATAATAAACAACAACAACATGACTACAAACCCTTAAATCTTTTACGAGTATTTTTGACCCTTGGAAAGCCCTTAAATCTGTTACGAGCTTTAGTATCCTTGTATATTTCCCCTACAAGAACCTGTCTATTTAGGACCAAAATGAACATGACTACAAACCCCGAGGAGCTGAGTGTAAACTGAAACCATAAAAAAATATATCCAATTTTGGTCCATCCTATAAAAACTCAAAAAAAGAATTGCTTTCATTGAGAGTCGAACTCAAGACCTCCCGCTTACTAAACGGGTGCTCTAACCAACTGAGCTATGAAAGCTTTTGCTTAGTGTCCAAGGTAATTTGATTAAATCAATTATATGTGAATTTATGATCTTTTTATCATATGAATTTATCAACATTGATGGATTTTAGAAGATTAAATATAAAATAATAATATCAGGTGTTCATATAAATTGTACTTTTTCTATTTTTTTTTGTGCTAGCATGAAAAGAAATAAAATTGTTTATATTTTTCATGACACATGGTTATTGATGAGATGTATTCTAATAATCGGGCTTTATTTAATTACAGAAATGGAGTATACCTCTTAAGTTTAAAAGTTAAATTTTAAAAAAGTGCTTTTAATTAAAATTTAAAAGTGTTTTTAAATGCAACTGCACATACGTTTTAAAACAACGTGATGCATGAATCTGTTGATAATTGCATCATATTGTGACTATGTTACGTCTTTTTTTACTTGAAAATTCAAAGCAAATAAGAAAAAATTATGGGTAAATAATATGGTTAATGTCATTCTTTTTATTCATTCCTTGTCAATTATTTTTCCCCCGTTCACATTATTGAAATTTCAAGAATAATATTAGTGGCTTTGTGGTATTCCAATTTTGGGTTTTCACTCAATTCTTGAGTTCTGCTTTGTGTTTTCTTGTGACGCAAGTATATTTCAATAAACCTCAAACAAATTATAATTTTTTTACAGGTTAGTGCTACCTAACCAAAATAAATGTACATAATAACATCCAAAAAGGAAAGGCATGTCTGAAATGAGTAGAGATTCCTCCTCCATCTTTAATTTACCATTTGTAGCTTCCCTTTTGTTTGTACAACACAAGTGCAAGAATGCTGGCTTCCTTTCCTCAGATTGACAATCATTAATAAATACCAGAAGCTGACTGACATATATATATTCCAATCAAGAATTGTTGCTGAAACAGTCATCACCACAAATTTCCAGTGGTGATCTTTGTTTTGTTACCAGAGTCATTGAGGAGAACAATCATCATCATCATCATCATCATGATTCATGAATATGAGTAGTGGATGTAGGATGCCCATTCAGATCCACATCTATCCCATTAACCTTTCTCACAAATTGTCCCCTGACACGAGGCCTTCTCTCAGCTAATTTTTTCCTATTCACATACCTTATTTTCTTATCATAGCAACGTTCTTTCCTCTTCTGCCTGAACTTCACCAAAGCTGCTTCTCTTCTATCCATTTTCCCCTCATTCTGCCCCTGCCCCGGTGGTGGTTGTACACAAAGATTAACCGGGTAGTACGGATATGATGTCATCCCAGGCATCTGATGATGATGATAATGTGGAACATGATACATTGCTGCTTCTGCTGATGATGGTGGTGGCATCATAACCTGATTCATCGCATTTGCACCATGAAGGTAATACGGATAACCAGAATGACGATTATACCCTTCTTCTATTTGTGCTTTGGGAAACTCTAGAGGAGGTGTAGATGACTCGTCCGGTGACACAGAACTGCCATGAAAGTCTTCTATTTGAGAAACATTTCCTCCATCACATGGCCTAACATTTTGATCCACTTCTCCACCAGATACTTTGTCAATTCTTGATGCCACTGGAGCAGTTTTTGTAAATATGCTTGATTTGACATATGTAAGAAATGCTGAAGATTGGCCTATCTTTAGTTCACTCTTCTTTGGACCACACATAACTTCCCCTGAAAACAATCCAGATATTTGATATTAGACTTGGTTTACTATGCTTTCAATATATTTATACAACTAGTTAGTTTACTATGTTCAAAGTTATGATAGAAGAAAATATAATCTAGATCGGATGAATTATTCACCTTGTTGATGGCCTTTGGTTTCTGGTAGATTAGACTGATTATTTAATAAACTAATAAGTTGTTTATCAGCATGGCCAGGAGCTAATATCACATTAATCTGAAAAGAAACAAGTCAAATTTTATCAAAACTGAATCCATGTAACTTGGCAATCTTCATTTATAGATGATTTTCACCTCGTTTGCACGATGGATTGATACAGACATCTCTAGATTGGCACTCTTTCGTGGCTTTTCATCTGTATCATCAGAAAATACAGTACTGTTTGTGTTAACATCACTATGGTCTGAAGGTACCACATCAAATTCACAGTTCATGAGCTTCTTCTCAGACAAACCAAGCTGCCAATTGCAAAAAGTAAAGGTTAGAAATGCGATGATCTCTCACTCTACAAGATGATAATAACAGGCATACATACCATTCGCCTTCTTCTCCACATGTGTGTCCACAAATTCAAGAGCTCATTTGTCCTTAAAGGCTTCACAAGATAATCAGCTGCTCCAAGTCTCAAACATTTGACAACAAGGGTAACTTCGTCCTGTGCAGACATCACTGCGAGAAGGAAAAAGGATGAGCTACTGGAAAATGAAAACAAGAAATGAATCCATGAACAACAAAGCTTACTGATCACAGGAATGCGTTGCAACTCTTTTCTCATGATGTATTTTAACATCTTCAAGCCTTTGGCCATAGGAAGATCGACTTCAGAAAGAATGAGATCGATGTTGGGTCCTTCAGCATTCAGAGCATCAATCACCTGCCTCGGTGATTTCACTGAAATCACTGTAAACCACAAAACATGCTCACATAACAGCACAGGAAAATATCAATGATAAACTAATTAGATCTGGTCTAACGCCTCAAATGAGCTCCCATATTTACAAATTAGAGTACGATACCTTGATAGGAACATTTACGAAGAAGAGTAAAAACCTCTCCTGAACCCTTCGAATCATTGTCACAAAGTAAAATTCTCACTTTACTGCGATCAATAAACCCATCCCCAGTCTTCCCAAAGTTAACTCCTCCAACTCCACCTCTGCCCAATGAGATTCCCTTCGGTTCCATCTCCCACATCAGTCAAATCAGACTCGCTCTATCCTTACACTTTCAACCACAGAAGCCTAGACAATCCCCCAAATTAAACAAGTATCAGAACGGAGTCAACACTAGAGAACTTCCATTACAGCACAAAATTTCGTGGACTTCAAATATAAAGGATTTGTCATCTAGGGTTATCGCTTCTAATTCTATTGACTCTATCAACATGAGATTACCACAGTTCTCACAAAACAAAAATGGAAAAAGAAAAATGAATCAGAAGTTCAGAAATGGAGATTAAACAATCAAATCCTCCTGATGTTCGGAAAACTCAGCCGAACCAAAAACGAAAAGTCTGTCGCAATCTAAAATACCTAAAGCAACGACTCAAATCTATCTCGAATCCCGCCGATCAAACGTCAGAAGTTAGCATGCCGAATTCGGCAGGGAAGTTTTGGTTTTTAGCGTAAGTGTGTGAGAGAGAGAACGAGATCTTTGATTGGTGTTGGATCTTGTAGTGGATACTTCGCAAATTCACTTTCCACAGTGGTGGATGCTACCATGCGCCATGGTTAGGCGAATATCCTGAGACGTTAGATCTGGTAGGATCGGAGTTGGGATGGGCGTATCGTAGGGTATCGGCGTACGTTAGACATAAGGCGGACGTGGAGAAAAGTGCACAAAAAAATGATTTGTGGAGCGCGTGAGGATAGTTTATTTAGGGATAGAGAAGAGGCCACGTCACAAAAAAAGAGATCTTTCCACGTCAGAAAAGAGCAGATATGATCATATTGATAGAGGGGACAGGGGGTTTAGGCCTAATTGGACACCAAAGACCAGAGGATAGGGGACCCATAATTTGTCATCTATTATGTAGGAGGGTATGAGTTATTTTCATAATTTCTTTTTCTAACATTTTTTTACATCGGCGCCACATCAAAACGATCAAATATTATTTTTATCCAACTACTAACGAAAGATTGTGTTACACATTTATAAATGCATAGAGATACAACTTGATTGGTATAGGCATCTTGTGTATGAAGGAATCTTGAGTTATCTAAAAGGCAAGGGTCGACCTCAAACAAAATATAAAGGGTAGCATACATTATTTTGGGGTATCACTTTGAAAAAATTAAATTATGCCTAAAATTTTCTCTAAATCCTTTACATTACGGTTGAAAAATTAAAGGGTAACACGGGCTACGTCCTTGGTTCCATTGCAGTACAGCCAGTGGCGAAACACAAGAGAGGCTGGGGGAGGCCATGGCCCCCCAGCTTTTTATCCTTCTATGTATGATATATATACGCAGTAAACAATTCCTTTTGTATAAAACTCTTTTCCATCTACTGTTAATCATAATAATTCTCAGATACTTTAGAAAATATATTACATAACTCATCTCACTCACATGCTGTTGACCTTGTCATTACTTTTAGATAAGAGTATATCAATTTTAAATGAGGTTTTAGATTACGACGAAAAAGATATATAATTAATAAAATTAATATTGTGGTTGAATTTAGTGAATCAAATAAGATGGGTAATGAAACGAGTTACCTTAGTTTTCTTCTATTATTTTATTTGAAGATTTAAATTATATATTTACAACTTTTTTATATACAATCATCTCTATTTAAAATGAATTCACATCCAAATAATCCGCTAAGTAAAAATTGAAATAATTTCATTAACAACAACCCTTTCCATATATAAACAAATAATATTTGTTTATTTTAAGTGATATAAAAGATACCATGTCAAAAATACAAAATCAATATTCATGTATTTGTATTGTATGGTTTTGTTCTAAAATACGATTACATAATAAACCAGAAAATAAGTTCTAGTTTGATTAACAATGTAAGAATATATCTTAATAGTTGTCTTGTCTTAATTGTTTGATGTATTATAACTTTGAACCATATTGAATTATATGGTTTTGTTTTGTTTTAGAATTTAGGTTTCCGGCCCCCTAGTTGTAATGATTGTGTTCCGCCCCTGAGTACTGCCTCCAGATGGTTTCCATCTCGCTAATTCCTTTTGGGCATACTGATCTCCCTTAAAGGTGAATATTCAGACCAATTTGAATCATGTGCATATAGTAGATCGATCCAAACCTATTTAGGACCAAACGGTCTCAGATTGGCTTGCTATTTCAGACCGACCGTAGGTCAATTTTGTTACAATCTTAAATTGGTCTTTAGAAAATAAATGTTGAATCGGTCTCATTTCGGTCTATAAACTGGTATAGACTAGGCTTTGACATGCCCATCCACCATTAGAAAAAAAAATCCAAGATTTTTGTTTCCACCTCAAACATTATTTCTTTTTTACATAACATACATACTCGCTTATAGGGTGTTTTTAACCGATTTTCTTTACAAAGGTGATTTAGAGGGTGTTTGAGATTGCTTACTTAATGTGTTTGTTACTACTAATGAATATTTTGAGTGTTTTGATAGAATAAATGAAATAAACAATATCAAATACTAATAGACATGACGTTGAAACATGAGTATGTCGTCTCAAAAATATATATAGCGTTCGTGTTAGGTGTGAGTTGTGAAGTCGGAAAAGGATTGGCTAGGTGTATTTGTGCCTTGTTACAAGAGTTTTTAACTTTTTTTTTTCCGGCTTTTTCCAATTACACATTAGACCATTGAATTTTTATTAACTTTTTGATATTAGGTGTGGATAAACTTCTAAAAACTTTATATATTTAATATAAATCTAGAATTATGTGTTTTTTAATATATATACAATTGCCCACTCAAGTCCCACCTTGGCACCTAAACATGTGATGCCATTTAAAAGTTAAAACCTTTCACATAATCAACCCATCAACCCCTTGGGACCCAAAAATCTTATAACTGATCGTACCCTGTTTGGCTTTCCATAACTGGTATGGGCTTTCTTTAACCGGGCCGAACCCGGTGGCAAAAGCACTTACCAAATCTTTTGCTCCCCTATGCCCACTTATTTCCAAAAAAAAAAAAAAGACCTTTTGGTCATCTCTACAGCTCTACTTATCAAATAGAAAAAAGAACAAAGAATAACAACATTTTGCATTGATGAATTCGAAACCCTAGGATCAGTCATTCACCTTCTACATCAACAATAAAACAAATTTCTTCCTTTCCAAATCTTTACAAACATTAAACCAAGATTCTTTTTCTAGAAGTCAGCCATTAGTGTGTGATCTATACACCAAAACCCTTCAATTAGAATCAAACAATCAGTTTCTTAGCCACTAATCGAACTCCAGCACTCTGTCTGTAGTCATATGGATCCAAAAGAAAACAAGCATCCACCAAGGAACCTGGACGAATCAAAGCCTCAAGTTCTGCCACGTCATACCTACTAAACATAACCCTTTCCACAGACAACGAAGATGATTCTTTCTGGTATATCTCTGTAATCCATCTTGCACTATCTCCTTCAGCTACAGTAGGTAGCCTGTAAAATTCCAATAACAATATTTAACATTTTTTTTTTTTAAATTACAAACCACATATTGTTCTTAAAAATGGGGAAAAAGACTTACTGTAATCTAACAGTAGGTGAGTTGTAAAACCCAGGCTTTCTGCTAACAACAGGTCTCCATTCTGAGTTACTATCAGAATCCACAAATCTCTTGGCAATATTATCACATGCATCAAGAACACCACAAAGATTTGGGGGCGCATCAACCACAAAACTTAGTCTAGGCCTTCCTGCTTGATCAACAAACTTTGTGCTTATTCCAAAACGTATCTTCAAGGCATTACATCGGATCTGCAATGGGGTGTTTCTGTGAAGGATTTGTATCTTTTGGGGTCCACGAAAAAAGGGGACAAGAGATATAGTAACAGAGGGTATGGAAACTTGATCAGGGTCAAGAAATTCAATGGTGTCAGTGTCACTGATGGCGGCAGTTTCAGCAGCTGCTGTTGGTGGTTCTTCCTCCATGGCTTCGTTTTCAATTTTGTCTATAAGTGGGCCCAAGTCAAACGGGTCGGGTTGAGCTTGTTGACCAACACCAGAAGCTGATTGATTTGGAGGGGAATTGGAAGATGATGGGCTAGTGCTTGGGCCAGTTGCATTTGCATTACTACGGGTTCTTGTGGTGGCATTTGGGGAAACCCAACTGTTTTCTGTAAATATATCTGGAAGACTTGATTCCTACATGAAGAGCATATCATAGTTTTGTTATACAGAAATGCTCATCTTCTTCACAAATGATAATGAATGAGCATTGCTTAAAAGCTTACCAAGAAAAGAACAGTTGCACAATACTTGAGAACTTCAAGATTCATTCGCACATCATCTAAACTTCTGAAAATGTTATTAAAAATGTTAAAATTTGTATTTTTTATGGTATGTGATACACGTTTGTGTTGTTAAAATGCCAGACTTACCGGTGTGATTGCTTTCCAAGCCCAAAATAATCTGCGAGAGTGGCCATCTGAACAAAAGAGAAGGAAGAGGATGAGCATAGCAATAGTTGAGAATCGATTTAAACACCCAAAATGAGTGTAAACTGTAAAGGACGAACGATTATATTTATACCTTCATGTTTCCAGCTCTCCTCCCAAATCTCTGTGTCAACAAAGCCAATGAATCAATGGTTCCCTTGGGCTCCGGTGGTGGTCTGTTAATCTGCGCAAACGCCTCCCTTAACCTCACGCAATCAAACCTAATTATATTGTGACCTGCCCATATCCTCCCTACCAAAAGATACAACAAACGCCCAATTCAATTAGTTAAATGTTTACAGAGAAACTTACTAGCGTAGGAAGATACTGAAGCTCAAATTACCATGTAAGATGTCGTAAACCTTATCCGCGATGTCAGAGAAGGTCGGGGCGGAAACGACAGCATCGGCGGTGATGCCGTTGGCGCGAACGGACAAGGTGGAAATGAGTGATAGGTCATGTGGTCTTACCAGCGTCTCGTAGCTTTCGAGCTCAACGAGCTTCCTAGGGCAAACCAGTATCGAACCGAATTCTAAGATGGCAAACCCCTGACCATGTCGGGTCGGGACAGTTGTTTCCAGGTCAAAGAAAGCTATCTCCGATCGATCTATGCTCGACACCATATCGCCAATCTGTGTGAAGAAGTTAGAAATTCGCAGAAAAGATTGAAGATTTAGGGCGCGAACTTGGAGTTGGTGTTGTGCAGGATTTTGGGTTATGTTTTTATAGGGGAATGGGCATCAAGCAAAGCACATGGGGTTTGGCTTTGAAGAGAAGTTTAGAAGAAACGTCTGGTATTACCTTTCTACCCTTTCACAAGAAAACGGTGTCCCCAGAAGGCAAGAACCTTTTCATTAAACTTGATCATAATAATAATTTATTTATTTTTTTCATGAAAATGACATTCTATTTCTACTCATATGGGAAAGAATTATCAGAAATCAGAATAATTTATTTAAGTATTATATTGTGTATTTCTTAAATAGAATAACATTTAGAAAAAGTCTTTATACGAATTTTGTAGCTCAAGAGAACATCGTTAAAACTACAATAGCTAATAAGTAATATCATTGTATAATGTGTGTTTTATCCGACCTTATGCCTCATCCACATGAAAAAGAACTCAACATCTTTCATGGCATAAATAAGTCAAATTTCTCCAACATGTTTAATATATTGTCATGCATACATGTGTTGAATGTGTATTATATGTGTTATTTGTGTATATTATGATAAATGTGAGACATAATAGAGAAATGGTGAGATGCAATAGGAAAAATGTTAGATGTTATAAAGAGAGAGAAGCTAGATAAAAGAGACATCAATTCAGGAGTGATAAGTTGTTATATTTTAGGCAGAATAACATTGTTTTGCTTTTAAAAGCTGCTAAACCACTTGATAGTTTAGAGAAAGTAAGGTTTTTTAACCATTTAAAGGCTTTTAATCCATCATGTATCAAACACGTTAAATGCTAACCGGATTCAGTGACCTCTGAATGGTTACATTCGATTGTTACCCCTGAAAGTCTGAAAAGTCAATGTTACGCTACTAAAAGTTGCTAAAATACTTTCTAATTTAGGAAGGCCATGTCACATTATAAAAAAATAAAAATAAAATCATTTTATTGTTTTATAAACAGATTTATATATTAAACAATACTTAATATCAGTATAGCTAATAAAATTTATACATTATACATCAATAGTCTAACAATTATATTTTATTATATATTTTGATTACTAATAAGGTAACAATGAAATAACTTTGTATTGCAAATTTTTGCGATTACTAAAAATGCAATTATAGTACACCATTATACAACTCGTGTACAGATATTATGTAATGTTTACTTTATTACACTTATTACATAAATTATTTTTATAATTAATTGAATAATATACTTAAGTTGATGTGACACAAATTTAAAAAAAATGGCGTAGATAGTCTAATTATCACATGTAACAGTGCCAATGATTATCTAAGAAATCCGGAAAAAAATATATATATAATATGTAAAAAAATAAAAAGAAAATCCCAAGAAGATATCCAATTGGAAGAGAAACTCCTCAAAGTTACCTAAGCATGAAGTAAAATGCAACATGTTGAACAAAAAGCAATATGCAAAGATACTTTATTAAAACAATCAAGTTTTCACATAAACCATTACCACAAGCAAACACCATCTTCCATGTCTTCCTATATACCACCTTCTAAACATCTTCTTTCCCAATTTACCCCCTTAACAAGTCATACTATAACCCCCATTTAAGACATTTCAATTTTCAACAAACAATGTTATATAAATGTGACCATAAAATATGGATCTTGATAGCATCATAGCATATGTAAATTGTAAAATTTCAAGAGCATAATAATATAATATAACTTACCTATTGAGTGATATAAGATTGAGCTGACTCATAAACATCAGGCTTGTATCCGGTTAACCCTGCTTCCATGGTGACTAAAAGAAGCATCTCATAAATCAAAGACACATCATGCTTATGCTTATGACTCCTATCACCTGCCAAAAACTCATGAACTGATCCACCAATCTGTATCCAACTTCTTCCAGGAGGCTTCTTAAGTGCCATTTTAACCATATACTCCCTCACATTTGCAACATCTTTCCACCTCTTAGCACCAGCATATACATTTGACAATAGTACTAAATAAGCAACAGCTTTATCATCTTCAAGATTCAAATCACCTATCTTTTGACCAATTTTGGAAGCAAGATCCACATTCTTGTGAATTCTACAACCACCAAGTAAAGCACCCCAGATTGCATCATTTGGCTCCATGGGCATGGATTCCACAAGCTTATGTGCTTCATCTAAAAATCCAGCACGACTTAACAGATCAACCATGCAACCATAATGCTCGATATTTGGCTCAATTCCCCAAATGGGTTTCATGTTTTTGAAGATATGACGACCTTCTTCAACAAAACCAGAATGGCTGCAAGCGTGTAAGACAGCTAGCATTGTTATGGCATCAGGTTGTGAACTATGATCATGATCATAATCATCTTTTGTGTCTTGAGAGTCTTGCATCCATTGGAAGACACTTAACGCGTCTTTGCCACGGCCTTGTTTTGCAAAACCTGAGATCATTGTTGTCCATGAGACAGTAGTTCTTGTTGGCATTTGAGCGAATAGTTTGTATGCATCATCAATAACACCACAACCAGCATACATATGTAAGAGTGCATTATTCAAACGAACTGTGCCTTGTTTGTTCTTGATGTGCCTACTTCTGTCAATGTAAGAATGGATCCATCTCCCCATTTTCAAATCACCGATTTCTGCACAAGCAGATAAAGCAGAGACTAAGGTCACCTGATCTAATTCCATATGAGCTTGTAACATTTCACGTAACAAAGATAGTGCTTCCTTACACCCCCCGTTATGTGCACATCCTGAAATTAACGTTGTCCATGAAACGATATTCTTCTCGGGCATTTTATCGAACACTCTACGTGCGCCATCAATGTCACGACACTTAACATATCCAGCAAGCAGTGTATTCCAGGTTACCACGTTTCTCTCACCCATTTCATCAAACACCTTACGTGCATTCTTCACTCCACTAGAGTCTCCCTCTCCGGCTACCGCATAAAGATTTACTAAATTAGTTTGCACGAACAGATTTGAACAAAACCCACCTGCTAAAACCTTCCCGTGAAGCTTCTCTCCCAATCGTAGCAGTTTCCCCCGAGCACACGCACTGATCACACACGAGTAAGTGTACTCGTCTGGCATTGCTCCTGATGCCAGCATTTCATCAAAAAGATGGACTGATTTACGAGGGGCATCAGTCCCGGCATACCCTCTAATGATTTGATTCCAGGAGGTAGTGCTAGGGTTGTTGATTTGTTCAAAAGTTTGGTGGGCATGATGAAGATAACCTGAAGATAGATACGATTGGAGCAACTTAACAATGATGAAATTTCTTTGGGTATAGGCGTTGATGATTATCTGGGCGTGGATTTGGGTGGTTTTTCTAATGGTGTTGGTGTTTTGGAGATTACTGAAGAGGAATTGTTGCAAAGATCTAGCAGTTCTAGGGTGTTTTAGAGCGAGGGCGGGAAAACCTTCTTGAACCAACATATAGAATAAACAAAATTGAACACCGTAAAGTGTGTCTCAAACGTCAATACCACTCTCCTCCTGTAGGTGGTTTAGGTCTAGGGCAAGGACAAACAGATATATAAGGTCTTGTGGTATACATACCACGAATCGATTCGTGGTCTAGTTGGCCACGAGAAAAGCTCGTGCACACCACCCTGATATTCCGTGGTCAGGCGTGGCCGTGATCCTTCGTGTTCCCGACGACGAATTCAAACGAAGAAAGGTGATTGGTGGTTGTTTTTTTTGCCGTTGAAAGTCTATTTTGCCTATTTCTTTTTTTTTCACACTCAATTCAATAACATAAATAAACTTTCTATTTTTACCAAAACTTACACCTCATTCTAACATTTATTCTATAAAACCACAAAACACATATACATGGATTCCACAAAACATATGGAATTTTTAAAAACTTTTGACTCGGATGACGACGTAGAATTCGTCGAGACATTCTTAAACGTTGTGCAACACATTCACGACGAAGAAAGTTCGAATGCTGCTCGTACAAGGGCGGTCGTCAATCGTGATCGCCAAGCCGCACACGACTTATGGGTACGTGATTACTTTGCCGATAATTGTCTTTATAATGACGACTCGTTCGAACGTCGTTTCCGTCTGAATAAGGCTATATTTTTACGTATTAGTAATGCTTTAGAATCTCATTATGATTTTTTCAAACAAAAACTCGACGCTAGAGGAAGAATGAGTTTTAGTAGTATACAAAAATGTGTGGCCGCTCTTAGGTATTTGGGATACGGTATAACATTTGATGCATCTGACGAATACTTGAAAGTATCCGAGAGGACCACAATTGAATGTGTAGATTGGTTTTCTGCATGTGTTTATGAGGTTTTTCACGAAGAATATTTGCGCAAACCTACTCAATTCGGCTCATGAAGAGAGGCATGGATTTCCGGGTATGCTTGGCAGTCTAGATTGTACGCATGTGGCTTGGGAAAAATGTCCAAATGCATGGCGTGGTCAGTTCACTCGAGGAGATATAGGTGAACCAACTATCATCCTAGAAGCTGTTGCATCTGAAGATTTGTGGATATGACATGCCTTTTTTGGAGTAGCGGGGTCTAACAACGACCTTAATGTTCGTGGTCAGTCACCACTTTTCAACGATATTTGGATCGGCAAAGCACCTGATATGACGTTCACGGTGAACGGGCACGCGTACAAATACGGTTACTACCTTGGTGATGGGATATACCCGGATTATTCTACATTGATGAAGGCATACTCGGTTCCTCGAAGTGAAAAGGCAAAGTTGTTTACAAAAAAAACAGGAATCGGCGAGAAAGGATATCGAGAGGGCATTTGGAGTCCTTAAGCAGACATGGCATGTAGTGAAATATGCTACACGACTCTGGGATAAAGAAAGAATTAAACGAATGGTCCTGGCATGTATTATAATGCATAATATGATTATTGAAGATGAAGGTCGAACGATTTGCACGTATGATCCGAACGACGTTGTCGTTCCAATTTAGGAGTTCGTACCCGGAACGAACGCGTTTTTAGAGCGAGTTGTTGAAATTAATAACAGTGAAACGTGTTTCAATCTTCGAGAAGATGTCGCGGAACATTT